TCTCTCTCTCTCTCTCTCTCTCTCTCTCTCTCTCTCTCTTTCTTTTTCCAGTTCTGGGATGAAAGGACCTCACTCGGGCAGGGCAGCAAGCACTCTACCCCAGAGCCTCGCCTCCAGCCCCAGACACACAATGTCTTGACGGAGAGCAAGCTGGCTCCAGTAACATACTGCAAAAAGGACATTATGGCCACGTGGACTTTACTCCGGGAATGCAAAGTGGGTTTAACGTTTGAAAATCAAGGTGAACAAACTAAATTCTAACAAACTTTTTAGGTTCAATAGATGCAGTAATAATATTTGACAAAATTCAAAATCCATTCCTGATGCACAACACTCAGCAAATAGGCATGAGAGGGAACTTCCTCACCCTTAGAAAGGACATCTGTGGCCTAAGGAAGGCACTCTGCTGCCCTAGAGGTAACCACTTTTTTTTTTTTGTAGTACTGGGCATTGAACCCAGGGCTTCCTAGATGCCAGGCAAGTGCTCTGACACTGAGCTACATCCCAGTGCCCACATTTTCTGGGGGACAGTGTCTCACTAAGCTGCACAGGCTGGCCTTGAACTTGCCATCCTCCTGTCTCAGCCTCACAAGTAGCTGGAATTCCAGGCACACGCCACCATACCCAGCTGGTAACCTCAGATTTCTTTCCATGAGACTGAATGTGCCATCAGGAACGAGGCTGGGAGGTCCCCACTCACCACCTCTGCTCAACCCTGCCCTAGTGAAAGCAGCAAGGCAAGAAATGGAAATAAAAGGCATACAAATCCGACAGGAGACAAAACTGTCCTTATTTGCAGGTGACATAGTTGTCTAGCAGGGACTAAAAATCTCAGTGTGATCAAAATGTGGAGTCTCCAAAATTTACAGATAGAAATCCCAAATTGACAGCAGACTATTTTGTTTATATCGACAGGCACATTCTAACCTTTATATGTAAATGCAAAGGACCTAGATTATCCCAAAATAATGAAAAAGAAAGAAAGGGCTGTGGATATACCTCAGTGATGGAGCTCACCTAGCGAGGGTGAGGCCCTGGGTCGGATCCTCAGCACCAGAAAGGTTTATTCATGTGACAGAGAGAGACCAGAAGCAGAGTCATGCACATATGGTGAACTGACTTTCCAATTGTGTCCAAATCAATTAAATGAGGAAAGGATAATCTTTTCAACAAATGATTCTCAAACACTGGGAGGCCACATAGGTAAAGGGGGGAGGGAGGGGGGACTGGGCGCTAATGCACCATATCAAAAAATTAACCCTATCATAGACTTAAGTATAAATATTAAAATCATAAAAAATTTTAGAAGAAAACTGGAGAAAATCTTAGCAACCTTGGGTTTGGCCAACATTCTTAAATACAACACAAAAAATATGAAAGGAAAAAATGATCCATGGAAATCCAATAAAAGCAAAAACTCGGCTTTTCGAAAGACATTGTTTCGGGCTGGGGATGTGGCTCAAGCGGTAGCGCGCTCGCCTGGCATGCGTGCGGCCCGGGTTCGATCCTCAGCACCACATACCAACAAAG